CACCAAGAGATTGTAACACTCCAAAGAGAAAGGAAAAATTTAAATAGCATAATATGACCCCTTTAAGATGTTGACCAGTCAAATTATCAAGTTACGGGATTGACAAAAGTCACAGAAAAGATGAAATTCTGACAAAATACACCAATTCACAGGTATTATTTTTTTAATTGGTTGAGCTAGTCTTGCATTGTTTAGTCAGATGTCTATTTGAATTGCTTCACAAATTATGGCACACACAATATATGTATATTGTGTACTGATATTATGGCACACACAATATCAGTACACAATATACATATATTGTGTACTGATATTGTGTGTACTGATATTATGGCACACACAATATCAGTACACAATATATGTATATTATTAAAACACATCAGAAAATGAGATCTTGATCGTCTTCATGATCCTCACCTTCCACCATCCTCCATCAGAATTTCTTTTTGCTCATTTATTACAGACCAAAAATCATGCTGTTCACAGACTCTACTCTCTGTATTGCCTTTGTCCATTTTATATTGCATGTAATTCATGAATGTTTCTGCTTACCTTTTGTTCCAATCCTCGGCCATAGACTCATTTCCCAAGCACTTTAATTGTTTACCATTAACATTTCCTCTGTATAATTCCTCAATGTAAAACACTTCATTAGCTCTTTCCCTCACAGCAGCTAATACTTTTTCAAGGTCCTCAGGTTGGATGCAAAGTATTACGCTGTCTTTGAAAACTAGAATATCGTGCTGTTTTAAATGTCCAGCTAATGCAGAGCCAAAGCATTTCAGAGCCAGCATAATGAGAACTGGGGTCAAAGGGCAGCCCTGATCCAGCAGTTTGTCTCTCTCAATTGAAACAGCTACAGATTCAGTATCTACTTCTGGTGCATCTCTGAGAAGGTTTTTCACAATGAGAAAATCCTGATACAGATTTGGGTTTGACCGTTTTTGCTTTTCTATTTCATCCTGAATATGAGACAACCTCATCTCAGTGCAGAATGTTTTGGGAGTGATCATGACAGTAGCTGAATCTTTTGGTGCATGATCCTTTGACTGAGACTCCAAGTAATCACCTAGACGTTTTGCCAGAATGGTAGCAATGATGAGGTAATCAACGTTAAAGAAGTGTTGACTATTGTCATGGGGACTTTTCACAGTTTCATTAAAGTGTTTCTCAGAGCAGTTAAATGCACCGCTGTGGATTCTGTCATAGAGCATCTTTATATATTGAATTAGATCCTGAATGTTGTCTTTATAGAAAGAAACTGGGATGCCGTCTGGTCTCGGTGTGTCTGACACTTGAAGAGAATTTACAGCTGAGAAAATGTCAACCTCACTGACTGCCTGTGAGCTTTCTTCACCCAGTGATGAACCCGCCTCATCTGTAAAAAGATGCTGTTTTAGATTCAGCCATTGGAAGATTGTTTTTATCTGGCGATCTTTCTGAAAAGGCATTGCGGGGATGTTGTTGATCTCTAAAGACACAGGCCAATGGTCAGGCCTCTCTGAGTTTCTAATGTCACAACTTCTGACACGCCACATACATTCTTCTGGAACAAAGAAGTAATCCAGTCTGGACACAGGAGAGTCTTTTATGTAGTATGTATAATCCTGCTTAATGGGGTTCTTTCTTCTCCAGACATCAACCAGCTGAAGAGATTTCATGAACTTTTTCACAAATAAGAGCAGTTTACGTTGATTTCCGTTCTTTATCTTCTTGCTAGTATTACATTTTTTGTCAATAAATGGATTAAGAACCGTGTTGAAATCTCCACCGATCACCAGCAGCCCTGTGGTCATTGACTGCAGGTAACTTGAAAGTTTATCAAGGGTTTTTGTGTCTGTGTGATGGTTGTAAACACTAACCAGAGTGTACGGCTGACCTACCAGGTTACATTTCAGCAAAACATACGTTCCACAGTTATCTCTTTCATCACTTATATATTCAAAATCCAGTGTTTTCCTCACTAGTATGGCTGATCCCTTTCGGGACGTATACTTTGTGTAGAAAATATGCCACTTGTTTTTTAGACCTTCTATAATATGTTCATCTCCTACTCCAATGTGTGTCTCTTGTAAGAAAACAACATCAGCATTTTGTAGTTTTTGAAATTTCTGATCTCTTTTTCTTTTAAGTCCGTTAACATTCCAGGTGATGAAGTTTATGGTCTGTGAAGCCATTGACAGATTGACAAAGATCCTCGGTTTAGTAAGTTCCCTGTCAAAACAAAGGGTGATGGAAGGTAGAATTTTTTTGTTTTGAATTGCTGAGACTTTCATGGTATCCTGACAGTAATAGAACAATTTTCTATTTGGCAGACATTTTTATCCAGAGTGATTTAAATTATATTCAAGATTTATAATTTATCTTTTTAATTTCCTAGGAATCGAACGACGCCTCCAGTTTCATTCTATGCTATTTTCCCCTCCTTTAAGTTCTAAAAATATTACTTTCCAAAAAATCACTTTACAATTATTATTATCTAATATATATATATATATATATATATATATATATTGCTTTACTATTGTTGTATTCTTGGGCTAAATATTGTATGTGTTTAGCAGTAATAGACCCTTTTCACATTTCCAGTGTTTTTGGAAGCAGTTTTTGTCATAGTTTGGTAAACTTCTGTAGTGGTGAACAGAAACTACAACAAATATAATTTTTGTGTTCTCATTTGTTCTAATAGTGAAAGAAAAAAAATCAAGATAGTGTTGCTATGAATATCCAAAATAGGAAAAAACATTGAGACATTGATTACAGACAGAAAGATATCAAATTTGCCATGTCACGCATCAGTATTAGGCTAACTAGTTTTCTGTAATTTAATGTAAAGTAATGTAACACGAAGTACTGTCTTATAAATGTACATTTGTCAAGAAATGGGTTCATCTACAACTCGCCTCCAGTGGATGACTGTTATAACATTGCATAAAAAATGACAATATAAAAAAATTTGCTAGGTTTATGTTGCTAAACGTCATCACAGTGAAAAGGGTCTGTGTTCTCTGACACATTTTTCACTGTTTCACATATCACACACACTTATAAACTTTTTTTAAACAAATTTACAGCCTATTATGGGGGAAAAAAAGTTTTCACCAAAAATAAATTAATAAATTAAAATAAATAATCATAATACAACACATAAAATAAATTTTTAGTCAGGCTTTTGTTGTACCCCACATGAGTGTCTTAAAATTCTTGCATCATATAAATTATAACTTGAGAATTGAGGAAAGTGCAGAGGGATAAAAAGCCAAAAAGTTAATGTCAAATACTTGTTGGATAAATTAGACAAGAATAATAATTTCGGTCACACTTTATTTTAAGGTGATAATAATTCTCGCTATTAACAAACCATTAACTATGACTTTTGCCTCAAAAAACTCCTAATTTGCTGCTTATTAGTAGTTAGTAAGGTAGTTGTTAAGTAGAATATGGTCATGCAGAATATGCGCTAATAAACAGCCAATATGTTAATATTAGGCATGCTAATAAGCAACTAGTTAAAAGTGAGAATTGGTCACCATACTAAAGTGTTACCGTAATGTCTATGGAAAGTTTTGAACAATTAAGCTAAAATAAGACAAATATACATTTTGACAAACTAAGTTTTAGAATTTTAGTTAACTTTAAGCACCATAGTAATTTGAAAGAAAAGTTACCTTTTATCTCTGAGGATGCTGTGGAACAGGACACTGCTGTTCAGCTGTCAAGTGTCAGAGTATTTCTGACCTTAAATCAGTTTACTATTTGGGTGTGGACTTCTTGATGTGTTAAACAAAGGGAAAGAGAACATTTCACCTTTGTTGAGTTTATTTGACTTCAGGCAGTACTATATAATTGTAAGATCAGTATAGCTTACACAGATGTATGCAGTATTTATTGATTTGCTTTTTCTTAATTCCATAATATCTAATACATGCTTAATAACAGCTTTTTAAAACTTATTTTCTAGCCTCACTAACTGTGATATGAGACTTTAATCTTTGCGACTTTACAGATCGTCTGTATGCACGGACAGCTTTTAACACTCCAAAGACAAAGGAAAACATGAAATCGCATCATTTTTAAAACTTATTTTCTAGTCTGAGTAACTGTGATATGAGACTTTAATCTTTGCGACTTTACAGATCGTCTGTATGCACGGACAGCTTTTAACACTCCAAAGACAAAGGAAAACATGAAATCGCATCATATGACCCCTTTAAACTAAAAAACACATGAAGTGAAATTGACTGTTCTTTGTAAATCTGTTCACCTTAGGCCAAATGGAGATGTTTGAATATTAGACAATCAAAGATCTTCATTATTGCATGAAAGGCTTCAGGTGTGTTATCATTCAGTTAACTACTGTTACATTTATGAGGAAACTGAGAATGTAGAATATGACCTCTGAATGATATCTTCAGATATATTATATTTACTGATATATTATCAGTAAATAATACTCACATTTATAGAAGTATTACCATTACCGTATCTGGGTGTGTTTTTGATGCACAAGGGTTATTGGGAGTTGTCTCTCACGATAAGCTGTTTCTGTTTGTTACCACCCTCTATTATTTAAATTCATGAAAATTATGAAAGTCCAAAATGTAAGCAAAAGCTGTGATATTTAACCGTTAAATATTAATGTTTGTTCACTAAAGAATATTTAAGATTATTGGCCCATAGATGAGACTCTAATGATTAGATGCACTTAATGCTTAATGATTTTTTATTTTTTACAGTTTTTCCTCATTCACTTTGCCATGTTTTGAAACAGTGCAATCTTCACAGCTGTTTGCTGTGATCAGAACGTCTCTGTTACGAATGTAACCCTCGTTCCCTGAAGGAGGGAACGGAGACATCACGTCGAAAGTACTGAAAGTGAACTGCATGTTTGCTAAATGTAGTAACTCACACAAAATCTTTAATTCATACTTCAGAACTTAGTTATTGTGTCCGAAAATTGGCCAATGCCACCAAAATAAAAACTGTTTTTTGTCATTGTGTGAGCCACACTGGTCAAAATGTTTAGATGTTTCTTCAACTTGAAAACATCTGTTATATATCAAATTTCTTGTTTTGTCTATTTTTTGTTGACATTGACTGCTTTACAAGAATGTAAGACTCATCTAGGTTTTTAAATACAGATTTTGAAATTGCTAGGAAAAGTCAATACTGTAGTAATAAAAAAAAATTGACATTTTGATTTATACACCATATATGCTTCCAAACTTGATTGGTAAGATTGTGATTCTTATTTCATTACAATGGTGGGCTATTTGAAAACTTAACAGACATTGCAAAAATTCCACGTGAGATATTAATAGAATAGCCTATACATGCATGTCTGACAGATTTTGATAACTGAATCACTGGCTCACACGATGAAAGAATGTTTAGAAGTTGTGAAGAGTTTGACAATTTCACTGAGAATTGATAAGTTTTGATAAACAATCTTGCATTTCGTTTTTTTGCACACATGTGCCGAAATACATGGAATTTGCTTAAATCAATAAAAACATATATAAAATCTGATATGAACAAGAAAGTAATTGTTCAGACATCTGAATTAATTGTTTTGAGAAAAACACATAAGCTTTTACATCTTCAGGGAAATCTGTTCCTGCTGGCTGATTTTTATTGTAGAATCATTTTCTCATGTTCAAATGTTTTCCTTTTACTTTAGATGTACTTTGTTCTTATTTCTTGACCTCACCCCAACAGTTTCAAGGTGTGTCCTGTTTACTGTGATTCATTTGTAAATGATGAGGGCAGGGTTGCTTCTGTTGCGTATTTAAAGCCTTTTTATTTTCTCTGTCCTTTGTGTATGAGATTTAACATTAGGTTAAACATTTGTTTCTGTTTTGTCACCACCCTCTATTATTTAAATTCATGAAAATTATGAAAGTCCAAAATGTAAGCAAAAGCTGTGATATTTAACCGTTAAATATTAATGTTTGTTCACTAAAGAATATTTAAGATTATTGGCCCATAGATGAGACTCTAATGATTAGATGCACTTAATGCTTAATGATTTTTTATTTTTTACAGTTTTTCCTCATTCACTTTGCCATGTTTTGAAACAGTGCAATCTTCACAGCTGTTTGCTGTGATCAGAACGTCTCTGTTACGAATGTAACCCTCGTTCCCTGAAGGAGGGAACGGAGACATCACGTCGAAAGTACTGAAAGTGAACTGCATGTTTGCTAAATGTAGTAACTCACACAAAATCTTTAATTCATACTTCAGAACTTAGTTATTGTGTCCGAAAATTGGCCAATGCCACCAAAATAAAAACTGTTTTTTGTCATTGTGTGAGCCACACTGGTCAAAATGTTTAGATGTTTCTTCAACTTGAAAACATCTGTTATATATCAAATTTCTTGTTTTGTCTATTTTTTGTTGACATTGACTGCTTTACAAGAATGTAAGACTCATCTATGTTTTTAAATACAGATTTCAACATTAGGCAAAAATTGCTAGGAAAAGTCAATAATGTAGTAATAAAAAAATGGAAATTTTGATTTATACTCCATGTATGCTTCCAAACTTGATTGGTAAGATTGTGATTCTTATTTCATTACAATGGTGGGCTATTTGAAAACTTAACAGACATTGCAAAAATTCCACGTGAGATATTAATAGAATAGCCACATTCAGTTAAGACGTAGGTGATTTTCGAGCGGCTAGCAATAGCAAGCTACCTTTGAAAGCATCAGATCCTGCCCTCCCTGCCAGTCACTCTCCAAAACCACACCTCCTCAAAAACACGCAAACGTTCAGACTGCACAGGCAGACCAGAGGCTAACCAGCGACACGATGAGAGACGGCGTTGGTGGAGGGTTGAATGCAATGCTGTCAGATTACCTCATGTCTCATCCACAGTGAGAAAACATTACAGTACAAAGCTCCATTATATTAAGTGATTCATTTGTAAATGATGAGGGCAGGGTTGCTTCTGTTGCGTATTTAAAGCCTTTTTATTTTCTCTGTCCTTTGTGTATGAGATTTAACACTAGGTTAAACGTTCAGTTAAGACGTAGGTGATTTTGGAGAGGCTAGCAATAGCAAGCTACCTTTGAAAGCATCAGATCCTGCCCTCCCTGCCAGTCACTCTCCAAAGCCACACCTCCTCAAAAACACACAAACGTTCAGACTGCACAGGCAGACCAGAGGCTAACCA